TGGTTAACACTAAATAAATAGCTTTTAAAAAATCCTGTTATTGCATTGAATGTTTTTCTAGGAATGGAGAGTAAAAGAGTGAAAGATGAAGTAACATCCCAGGGTTGAGTGTTGCTGGTAACAGAAAGGTGCTTGCTTGCTATGGATATGCAAAGCATTTTGTCCATATATGTTATTATTTTTCAGTGAATTAAGAGATCAAATCCAGTCCTGTTGCAATCCTATTGGCAGATATTTTGGGAAAACGAGAACTGCAGGGATACACTGTTCATAGTGGATTCTCTATGTTCAGGATCAATGTTCCTAACCATGTCACTGGTTTAATGATCATCATAAGCCAAGTTAAGTTTGTGCTTCCTTCAGAAAGAGAAGATTCCCTGTCACTTCACTATTTGTCATCCTAATGAATAGGCTTAGGCCATCTACCCCACCAATAACTAATTCTTCCCCTTCCCTTCCCCACAAATCAATCAATCTTTTCTTACAGTCATCAGCCAGATCAGTAGGTGGATTCAGATCACTGCTGAGCCCCCAGGCAGGGAGAGGGCAGTGGGAGAATCCCTTCTTTCTTTGGCTGAAGCCAGCTGTGGGGAGCACTCTGAGGATTGATGGAGGTGCTCCTGGGATGCAGGGATGGCACAGAGCAGCGAGTGGCTGCTGTGGGAGCAGATGGACCAAGGCACGTGACAGCCATGGCACATGAATCCAGGTGGCTTAGTAAATGAGAGACTGAAGTGCAGGGATTCACAAACCAACCAAATAAGCTTTCACATTAAGAATAAGTCATAAGATGCAGGGAGTATATTGGATTTAGGAGGCTGGGTAAGATAATCGCTGAAGAACAGAAAGCCTTTACAGACAGAACAAAAGACATGGAGAATTTTCTTACCAAGATTATTTAATGTGTCAAATATCTGGTCTTCAGAAACACCAAAACTCCATCTAAATAAAGGTAATATGAGGAAGCACATTGGTTTTGACCTTCTTCATTAATTCCTGACCCAAACCCATCTATTCCAATACAATGCCACTAAACTATCCAGTGAGCTCTCAGACTATAAATGAATGAAAATGAATCTGAGACCCTATTATGTGGAAATGTCATTTCTGATAGCATATCCTATTTTTCTTTGAAAATTGGCCCCTATTGCTTTAACATTACAAAGGCAGCTTATTAAGTGGGAGCCATGGGAAATCCTTCCTGGTAGGATTACTAATTATCCGGACTTAAAATGTAACCCTGTTCCAACTTTATTGCTTCTATATGCTTTGGGCTTCTTTTGAAGGTGTCTGTCTTATGAAGGAATGTGTTAAATATTCTGCATTTGCAATTGCCATTTCTTTAAAAAGGAGGTGTTAGTGAAGGTTTTCCTCTACAGTCATCTTTTTAAACAAACATGATTTTCTTCTTGGCATTGTCTTTTTGTGGCAGGAAATGAGCTGCCTTGTGCTCCCCTTTGGGTTTATTTGATACTCCTCTCAGGTGCTTGGCTTGGGCCAGCAAGTCAAGATGGGAACTCCACCAATATGTTAAATACAGAAATTAAACATATCTTGTCATGTGTCACCTTTGGTAGTATCTGATTATAAAAAAATATTACTAAAATATTGTCCATCTGAGTAAACTTCTTTCTCTGTGTAACACAAAGGGTTAGTACGTTATTATGGTGCCAGATTCAGCTCATATTTCACAGTGAAGTAAATCCAGAATCACTTTATTGACACTGATAAAACAGATGGCTAAACCCAAGCTAGACAGAAATGTAATTATATCTGCAGTGTTAGAGGTGAAGGTATGTTATTAAAACACCTCCCTCTTTTCTTTGAATAATGTGTAGGTCTTGCAAAATGTAAGGATTGCACTGATAATATCAAATGTCACTCCAGCTTCTTGATGGGAAAAAGTACATAGTACAAAAGTGAATATGCACAGAACAATGGAGAGCTCCTAATTAGCCATTATAGGATTCTATTAATCTCTTCAATCGACTAAAAGAATTACAGTCGTTTAAGTCTGTTTGCTTTAAGATGGAAAGAAGGCTTAACCAAAGCCTTTGGGCTGACGGTAGCTAAAGCAGAATCAGATTCTGTGCATCTAGCTACATCTGTTGGTTTTCCTGGAGAAGGTCTCAGCCACTGCAGAGTGCTGGGTGTGTTTGCACACATTCTGCCAGAGGCCTGGCAAGCTGCCCGTGGCTAAGCGTGCCTGTACCCAGCTCAAGTGATTTGTGTTCCTGGACAGGAGTTTGGAGTTGGAGGTTATTAATAGAAAAATTCCAGCCCAGATTGCTTCAGCATTTTCCTGTTGCACTGGTTCATGTGATAGGTTCTATCTCCTGTGCAGCTGCTTCCCTGTGCCCATCAGCTGGGGCAGGGTGGGTGTGCAGGGGGACCAGCCACATCCTGCACACTGTGGGTTGCCCATCCCCTCAGGGCTGTGCCTGTCCCATCACAGACCATGCTGGACCTTGTTACCCCACCAGTTTGGAAGCTGGAAACCTTCAACTGTTTTATGAGTTTCTAATGTTTATGGCTCTGATTTTAATCTTTCTGGTGTGCAATAATAGTATTTGCTCCAGCGTGGTTTTCCTGAGTTGATGGGTAGCTTCATCTCCCCCTGACGTAGTGAGCTCATATGTCAACAACACTTCCTTTTTAATTATTTAATGTGTAATTGTTACCCATGTCATCAAATCTGGTAAGAAACTGCACTGAGTTAAGGCTTCTGGAGGGAGTTAGAATGAAAATGCAGAAGAGGAAAAAGGGAGGAGAAGCACTAAAGGACCTTTAACAAGAGAGAAGTGAAGTAGCAATGGCTATAAAGGTGGAGACATACTGCCACCATGCAGTGATGATGATAAAAAGAAAATTAACCACTCTTTGCCATGGATTTCTGGTGCAGACCCATCCTTGAAATTGGTGGGAATTCAATGGACTGGAGAGCATGTTATTTCAAATGTATTTTGTGGCTCACAGATCACAATTAAAGTTAAATTCTGCCTTCTGCAAAATTAGGTTGGACACACTGGTCTGCTGCAGCCAATCCTTTACCTTGGTTGGTCTCAGTTGAGTTAAAACTATGCAAGGAAAAAACCCAAATTATAACTGTGGAGATTACTCACTTCTCTTGTGAGATTTTATGCAATTGCTATCATAGCAAAAGCTATTTTCAAGGAAATCCAGGATGTATGGGTTACTTTTCAGAAGAGAAAATACTGTTTTACAGGTTCTTTCTATAGATTTCTATGATTCTTATAGATCATTCCATTCAAATGTCTTGGCTATGAAAATATTGATATAAATGTTATGAGATTATGATATTCCCAATATTATATAGAATAAATGTTATCACTTAAATATTTTTAAATGCCAGCATTTCTGCAGCCTGCAGCATTTTGCTAAGAAGACCATACACTTGTCAAATGTTTGGAATTCTGTATTATTCAGTAAATGAGCATTTGGTTAATTAAAGTAGCATTACTATACTGTGAGGTGACCAGATTGCAAACATATCTTTAACAATTGGCCCTTGTAAATAAAATAGAAGAGAGCCGATTGAGATCTGAAAATGTCAATAGATGCAAAAGTCACCTTAGAGCATTACCTTATAAAATAAAAGGAGAGAAGTAATGACATGGTCAATATTAACTGCCATCAGCTGGAAAGAAATCAGATTGTCAGGGATCTATAAAATTCTTGCCAAAGTAGAACCTCATTTACGCATACAGATCTTCATACCCTTTGCTAAGAAAAGCGTATGTGACAGCTTAGAGGTTTTAGCTGCCAAAGATCTTTCACTCTGAATACAGTAAATGTCACATCTATTTATTTATCGTTAAATTTTGCTAAGTATCTGTAGAAATATTTGGATTTTTTCTATCATAATGTAGATGTTTAAAAGGAAAAGAATCCAGATTATAATGCAGCTGTAGCACCAAACCATATGTCTTCTAAATGGGAGCAAAAATACACCACTGAATTACTGGGAGTAAACATAACCTAGATGCTATCTTCAGAAGAATATTAAATGGATTATATAAATACAGGGTATTGCCATAAAATCACGCAATCAGACAATAGTAACCATCAGGCAATAGATTATTTTACATGCTGAAAGTAATCACAGTTGTATAGCAATCTGCATTTTCTAAATGCCAGACTGAAAATATTAACTGGTGAATCTTGGCAAGCACAGTTTTTCTGCCAACTGCAGTGGTGGTATTAACAATATCCAGGCCTTTTTTGAGACCTAAATAGAGGAATAAGGCAGCCACCCTACACCCCAGTTTTATTAGAAACTGCCTGGAGTCCCAGGTGCTCAAAACAGTCTTGTTTGTCTTCAGTTTGAGTCTTCAACTTCTTTCTTGTAAGAAGACAAATAAGGGTGATTTACTGGTATATTGGGTGGCACTTGCACTGTGCTGTGCAAGAGCAAATGGTCCAGCGGGATACTCAGTAATATTCAATGTTATGAATAATGTCTGGCATGAGAAAGAACTCAAATCAGAATGGCTGCTGTTTTGCTCAGAAGCAGTGTCATAAGTCCATTTGGATTCTACATTATTGTGTGAAAGGGAAAAAGTTAATAACTTTAATAAGAAAGGCATCTGTGCTGAGTCTGGTAAAACTTACTGGGAATAATTGTCAACTGTATTTTATCATTTGGGTCTTTTTATATAATGTGAAAGGAGAGGAGGTTTCTTCATCACATCCATGGCCATCTTCAAACTGAGCAAGATCTGATTATCCTTGAACTTAAATTGAACTTTGTAAATCAGCATCTCAGGGAACAGGTTCTCACTATTTATAATTGTAGTGCTTAGAACTGGAAATATAATGAAATATTTACCTCAAAACTGGCTATATTTATCAAGATTTCTTATTACAGCACATTGAACTAGCTCTGCCTCTGGGAACTCTGATCTAAATGATATCAAGTGAAGGCTTCCTCTCCTCAAGAGCAACTCTGAGTATTTCTTTTTTTTTTTTTTTTTTTACAGATGATATGGAAGCAATTCCAGTCAAGCAGTTTGTTAAACACATCAGTGAGCTGTATTCTAATAACCAGCATGGGTTCTCAGAAGACTTTGAGGTACGATTTAATGACCCACCAATAAAATGTTGTTTTCCTAAAGTTAATTGTGTATTAATAATTGGGGACCATGTGACATCTGTGTGAGGCTGTCATGTCAAGTAAATGCAGTGCTCAAATGTATCAGAAGAAACAGGATGATACCAATTTTCTACCAGTTATGAGCAATGTGGGACTGGACATTTACAGATGCTTTCTAACCACCACAGATTTGGTGCCTTTAAGGGGGAGCCCACCTAGGTTTTTATTAAATAGGAAAAGCTGCCTGCAAGCCCCCAGGAGCAACATGAAGATACAGTCATTTTTAACTCTGGGTTTTCTTACAATTATTTTACTCTTCTTGCTCCAGAATTTGCTCCTCTAGGTTGTCTGAAAAGCCACATATTCCTCAAGTGAAATATTGCTTGCAATGTATAAAAGTAGTAGAATTTGGTCTTTGATGAAAACCCAAACTGTGAGTTAGTTTTTTGAACCCTTGTTCATGCACTGTTCAGACAGGAGAGACTGCTATTGAAGTCATTGATTATTTTGTTCCAGTAAAACAAAAGAGAAAGGATTTGGGGTTTAGTTGGTGGTATTTACCTAATGTGACTATTTTAAAATTTTCATCTTGTTACCTGTATAGAACAGATTCTGACCTATAAATATGCTGTCATTTGGAGATAATTCCAATGGAGTGAAAGTAGTTTTCTACCTCAGGGTTACCAAACCCATATTAAGCATGGTAAACATCATAGAGTCTAAGACAGCAGATCAGGCTTTTCTTCTGCCCAGTCTAATCACAGTCCCTGCTGAATGTTTGGAAGTACTGAGAAACAGAAGAAGCCCCAGAAAACCACACGGAGTTGCACTTCTGGCTTCCCCAGGAGCCAAAGTGTGTTTGCCTGCTGCCTGTGAATCAGAGCAGCAGCTCTGCTTACAAACAAGGCACTGAACCAAAATAGGTGGCCTTATATCTACAGCTTCTTTGCTTACTGCACTGTAAAGACAAGATTGTATGCAGGAATTGTTTTTAATGGGATCATTTAAAACGTTTATTGTTGCTGTTTGGTTACTGTCTATAAAGAGTGTCTGCTTTGTCTGATGCCAAAAAAGCGTAGTGTAAGTTAGAAACATTTTGTATTCATGAGGAAGGCAAATGTGTAAGGTGTTAAAGTGATTTAGTTCAATTGACTGCTGGCTGGATGGCTGAGCAGGAATATTGAGGCATTTAACAATGTTGATGGTATTCAGGACAAACATTTATCCTCCAGAGACTAGAATTTGATCAGGATGATCAAATGCGACTCACTCTTCTCAATTATTTATGAATTGCGACCCCAGTGCTATTCATCACAGCTGGGTTTTACACCATTTAATTATTCAAAATAATCAACAACACATCTGTAAACTTGGTCTGGGTTTAAGCAAGCTTTGCTTCAGCTGTCACAAAATCACTGCCGTTAACAAATGTTGGACACCTTCTGCCTGTGTTTTAGCAAAGAAAAACACTGCTCTAATAGCCTTATTTTTTCCCTTCCTCCTGGAGTTCCCTGCTGTGAGTGTTGTGCTGTGGCAGCTAGCTGGAGAGAGTTTTGGCCAATTAGCCCCATTCTGGGGAGCACAGGGTCCCTTCCAAAGGGAAGTTAAACTCCTCCGACTGCACTGCGCACACCAAATTTTCTTGTCCGTGCTGGCTTAAAACTTGGAGCGTCTGCTTTGAAGTCAGGATAGCTACTCCAGAGGTATTGCTCCATAGCTGAGATCTCAGCTTCCTTAATGTAAATGAAATCTCCTGCTAGAGTAAGGAGTAGGAATAGGAACGAGGTGATCTCTCTCTGGGATGAACCAACCAGCTCCCCTTCATTGCTGGTGTTCTGCCCTGCTGAGGCCTCGTGGGCCTGATTTGAAACCCAGGATTTTTCACAGAGCCCATAGGTAAAATGTTTCTGAAGTACCAAACTGACTCAGAGGTCAGAGCCCCAGCTTGGAGAGTGGCTGAGGGACAGTGGAACCCGAGGTTACATTTATTCAGTAGCTGTTGGAGAGACTGCAGTGCAGCTTCTCACATCCAGCCAGATCCAGCCATGGTCCATGGGCTGGACTTGCATCTGCCAGCTATGGGGAAGACTTTGCTAATGTTTTATGGAGAAATAATAAGAGTCCAGATAAAACAGAAAATCCAGGGCTGCTAGCCTTAGGTAGAAGGTACCAGAGCCATAAGATGTCTTCATGCCAGTGGAACTTTTGAAAAGAGGTAATGGATTCTGAAGTCATACAAAAAAATACGGTTTTTTACATCTAAAAGGGGAAGAAAAGAACATGGTGTGGAGATGCTGAAATAATATGATCAATACTGCAGAATAAAGAAATCCTCCCAAAGGTAGACAGTGCATGAGATTTGCTAAAAAAAAAAAAGGGATCAAAAATCTCTTCAGAAATTTCTGTGGCAGGAGGTTTAAGGTAGAAGCTGCACAAGGAAAGACTAAGCTAGGCACATACATACACTGTCCAATGTGGACTGTTAACAGCCTCCACTTGTTTGTTGCTAGATTTTGGTGTCACTTCCTGTGTTTTTGGCAGCATATTTAAGGCTGTGTTAGGTTGTTTTTTACAGGAAGAAGATTCCTTTAAAAGTAAATTGTGTGAATATTCCCTCCCCCTCTTAAATTGAGCTGTAATTACAGCTAAATATTTTGTGAATGTGCTTAGGAAGCATTTTATATGCAGAGGAAAAAAAGGACTTTGCACTCAAAAATCTTCCCTTGAAAAGTACATCTAAAATGAATCTTTATTCCCTTTGGGTAATCGTAGTGCAAGTAGCCAGCTTTATTGTCTGATGATAACTGAGCTTTCTTGTATATACAGAATTTTAAAAATTTCCTTTGAGTCCTGTGAATTTTCAATTTTTGATATAAATTGGAAATACAGAACCCAATTTAATATTGAACAACAAATAGCTTTTTAAAATAAAGATTCTGCATCAGTAGTGCTGGTCTCTGACATAACTCTTTGTATTCAACCTTGGAGTTTATTCAGTGGTAGACTAAAAAAGTTCAGGGAAGCTTTTTGGCTTGCTCTCAGGCAGCACCAGCATTATCTTGCTATGGTGTACAGGATGAGGTACCACATTTTTTTTACAGGGCTACTGGGGCAGGATTTGAGGGCAAGACTGAACAGAGATTGAAAGGCTTCCTGAGCCAGAGATTATATCTATTCCTGATCTAGCCTGAGATTTTCCTGGCACTATTACATTAAACAGTCTTTGATAGACCTTTTTTCCATGAGTTTCTAATTGTCTCTTGAGCCCTTTTAGGCTTCTGATGTCCAAAGCATCCCATTGCAATGAATTCTACAATTTGTTCCACAAGAACAGACTTCCTTTTGATTTTCATTCATATTGAATAACTTCTCTTGGTGCCTCCTACTTTTTGCATTACAAAGTGCATCCCTGTTTACTCCCATGATTCTGTCTGCCTTTATATTCCCCCTTAATAATCAATTTTCAAATCTAAAGAAATCTAAATTATTGACTTCATTTTTTGGAGAAAGCCACTCCAGACTTGAGATGAGTTGTCCCTTCCCTTCAGTACCTTTTTATCTTCTTTACCATAACCTTGTTAAGATGGGAAGACCACAGCAGTGCACAGTATATGGCAGGTGGTTTTAATGCAGAGTTCAGTGACGTTTTCAGTTTTCTATTACTTTTCTCCTTCCTAACCTAGTATTTGGTTTTTAACAACTACTGAGCACTCAGCTGACACCTCCAGAAAACTATTGAGTGTGACCCCAAGGCCTCATCACTGTATGGCAATAGCAAATTGGGAACCTGTCAGCATGTATGTATAGTTAGGGTTGTTTTTCCCCCAAGTACATCACTTTGCATTTATCAACATTGAATTTCATTTGCCATTTTGTCACTTGGCCACTCAGTGCTGCAAGATGGTTCAGCTTCCCTTCACAAACAGCCTTCATTCTAATTATCCTGAAGAATTTGGTATTGTAAACACACTTTGTCTCCTCTGCAGTCCTCTTATGAATAGGTCCCACCAGTGAAAGTTGAACACTGGCAACTCCTGGGCAGGTGAGTCCCACTTCTACCCTGGTAGTGCACAAAGGCAAGTTTTCTTTTTGTTCCAAAACCAGAACAGGTTTTAAGTAATATTTTCTGAGAGGCCTTTTCACACATTTTGGAAATTGATATGCTGCTCTCTTCTAGGCAGCCTGTAGACTTCTTCAGGGACCTCTCCCCAAGGTGTTGAAGGCATTCACTGGCTCTGCTCCTCTATTTCAGTCTTGCAGTTTGTCCCACAGAGAAGTCAGCTATAGTGGGCTGCAGTGCCTAAAACCCCTTCTGGATCTCAATTTAAAAACTGATGTCACATTTGTCATCCTCTATTCCCCTGATAGCCTGACTATATGGGACATGTGCCCTCTAAATTCCTGTATCAAAAAGAGTGTGAAGTGCCACCTCCCACAGCAGAGCTTTTCACTCCCTCCCCCTGGCCAGTTACTGGAATAACACAGTAAGTTTTTTTTGAGTAATCATGTCCTTTTTGCTCTAAGAAAGGAACACTAAGCCAAGAAATCATCTTCCATCCCCAAAGCTAACTGAATTTTTACAGTTTAAGGCAGCATGTGGATTTTTGAGATCAGGGAGTTTTACTTCCCTCCTCTGTAATTCTGGAGTGGGCTGGTCAGTGCTGCTGCAGGAGCAGTTAGGGAGGGGAATGCAATCTCTGCAGACCTCTCCTGCCTGTGGCCGTGTGAGCATAATGATTCATTGCCAATTTGGAGTCTGAACAGGCTCGCTGAACTCAGAGGCAGGCTGTCTAGCTCCCTCATCACATAAATTGAAAATATCTTTATACTCCAGTGGCACCTTCTTCTAAATGGCCTGAAATATAAGAAAATAACATAAATCTATATTTCCAGCAATGTGGCAGGGATTTGCTAATGTTATTCTCATAGTTGCTGCTGCTCAGGGCAGGGGTCACTGGCTCTTTTTAACTGGGGACCTCAGAACGTTAGCCATGGGTTGCATTGAAAACAGATAATGCTGCACTTTCCACACTTCTTGAGATGCTAAAAACCCAGTGCAGTTATCCTGACATCCCTTACAGATTAGACACAGCTCGCACCAGGCACATGCTTATAGCTGCATCTATACCAAGGAATTTGGCAGCAGAAAACGCCATTTCAAAAGCATGCTGCTAGCAGGCAATACTGCATTGGGAATGTTTCATAACCTGGCCCAAAATTGCCTTAATTAGAGGTAGTCTCAGCCTTTGCATTGCTGTACTGAAACCAGAGGGAAGCAGCACTGTGAAGCTGGAGGAGGAAGGATTGCTGCAAAACAGGGCCTTCCTGGAGTTCTCAATTCTTATCTCACTGCCTCACCTACCCTGAGAAGTTGGTGTTGTGAATTAAGAGATGAAGAGAAGCAGTAAAACAAGTTCAGATATCTGGAGTTTCTATTAGTAACCACAGTACCACAGCCATTCCCAAGGTTTGTGACTGGAAGCCCCACTTGGATGAGCCATTGGCTGGGAAATGGAAGGTTTTGGTCAGACTCTGACACATCCACCCCACCATCCTTTCCTCTCTTTTGCATTTTACAGGAGTTTTTAGCTATTGATGTTATTTAGCTAATAACATCTATTGATGTTATTCCTGTGTTGAGTCCTTTTGGTTTGTTTATTTTCACCTCTTTCTAGCTTGTCCCCAACTCACCTCTCTCTCGAGTGCTGTTGGAGAGTTTATACCAGTGCTAAATTATTCTAGAAATCTACACTGTTCCTGGGGGATATCTTCAAACACTATCTGCAGTCTCTGTTGGTATGCTGTCTTCATGTTTGCTGTGATAAAACAAACAGAAAGAGCACTACCACAGAATTCTTGTAATTTGGGATTAAAATAATAGATCAAAACTGATACTGGGGCTGGATGCTTCCATGCTGAAAAATATCAACATTAATATCAAAACACAGCTACGGATCTTCTCAGGTTTAGTTGCTCAGATTAGGATCCTTTCTTTGTTGTGACTCCTCATTGCTATTCATAGGCTTTCACAGTGCAGCCCCTGCCAGGACATCAGCCTGAAGTACTGGGAAACAGCAGCAGCAGTGCTTTGTAAGGCCAAATCAAGAGACAGAGTTCCTGCTCAGCCACTGTAGCAAAAAATCCTGTTCAGAACCTTATACTGCCAGCAAGACACTGGAGCAGTTTGATTTTACACTTAAATGGAAATTCTTTGAAGTTTAGAAGAAACTAATCTGTAACTTGTTTCAGAAAGGCAATTAAAATGGGTCGTTAAACCTCGGTGTATCAAATTCCAATTAGCATTAGCATGGACAATATAATTAAAAGGTAAATTAGCCGTAATAGCATAGACTAGAACACTTCTTACAGTAACTAACAGTCAATTGAAACCATGTACTTTGGTTTCTAGGGTTGTCAATGATTAAGTTGAAAGGACAGAATAAAGCCTGTATCCATTCATCCTGGGACAGTAATGTGTTCTGGGAAGTTAAACATGAGGAGCAGCAGTGTGCAAGCAAGCCATCATTAAAATCAGTGGAGGAGACTAAGCAGGATTAAGGAAAGCCAAAGGAAATATTCTAGACATGAAAAGTTTATGGATGAATTACAAAGTTGGTGAAACAAACACTATCTGTCCTACTCCAAGGTGCCAGTAACAGTTTTGTGCCTGCTGGGAGAGGACTTTGTTTAGGCTGAGCTGCCATGAGCAGCCCTGACCTGGTGACCTGCCTGCAAACGTAGGTTTTAGTAGTAATGCAATCATGGTGATGTTTTCATGCAACTGAAGGACTTGGTAGCCAGTGAGGTTTAGAAATCCCGGGGTGTTCATTGCATAAGCAACAGGAAATGCTGGGAAAGTAAATATGTGATATACATAAATGTGGTAAAATGGCATAATTAAGATGGGGACTTTTGGGGACTTTCTCCAGGGTGTTATTTATTAACACCAGGGTGTCCTCTTCTGCCAAGGGGTAAATAATACTCTGAACAGAGGCACAGATAACAGACTGCAACTAGTCTTGTCTCCTTGCAGCCTTCTGTGCATTGATGAAAGGCAATCAGCTTGGTTTTAATAACAGAGGAATGTTAACTTATGCCTTACTGGCTGGTGGGGAGCCTGTGGTTTAGTAATTTGCTGTTAGGATTTGGAGAGATGAGCCTCAGAGGGTAGGAGAGTGTGGATACCCACCCTCTGCTCTCAACCCCATCTGGGTTTTGGAACAGCCAAACCCAGGCCAGGGTGGAGCTGGAGGATGTTCTCAGTCCCCTTCTCACTGACAGCTTCAGTGTCCCAAAGCCTTGGCTGTGTCCTGGACTGGAGGGGAAGGCTGCAGTCTTTAAAAAGACAAAAATAGCTGAGGTATATTGGCAAGGGGGAAGCTTTTCTGTAACAGTCTCCTTTTGCTATGCTTTTGCATCGTGTAGATATACCCACCATTACAACAGCTTTCCAGAGTATTAAAAGCCATTTAGAATGTTATGTGTTAAGAAAAGCCATTTTCAGATCATCAGCTCTCACAGCATCAGACCTCCTTTTCCACTGCTGTGTTTTTCACCATCTTTGCTTAATCTTCCTCTTCTATTAACGTTCTATTGGCCAGCTGGGAACATGTACAGTCAAGGAAACAGTCACCATCAACATAAAAAGGTTAATTAAAATGATTAACCTCCCCAACAATTCCCTTATGGAAAAATCCTATAGAACTTAATAGAAAATGATACATTTACTGTGTAGTATTTAAACTGTCAGAGAAAATTCCTTAGTCGGGAGGTAATTCCCTATTAAATTCTATAACTTCTCAGAGTATTCTGCACAGAATCTTATTGGATTAATCTGTATTAAATTTTACAGGATTTGGCATAAATTTTTCAACACCAGTAACTTCTAAAAAGAATTTTATAGCGATGCAGGGATGTAGGGTTTGATGTGAGGCTTTTCAGAAGCAGGCAGGGTATTTTTTAGGAGTGACCTGTAACAGTACAGCAGTGATGCTGTGTGATTTCTAAATGAAAATATAGATAAAACAAAATTACATTAAATCAACCTAACATGTAAATATTGCTGCTTTTCCAACCATGACATAGGCTGAACTGATCCTGCCTATTGTGTTATCTGAAATCCCTTGCTATACTGGAGCTGACAGGCAGAATTAGGGGAACAGCACGCTTTAATATGTTTTTTTTTTTTTTTGATAGAAGTGGAACTATGAAAATTCCATTAGGGCCAGCTGAGAGTTTTGCTCGATTCATCTTTGTCTTTGCTCAGCTCATCTCCTTGAGCACAGTATGTTTCTCCCTATGGAGGGCTGGGAAGAGAGAAGCAATTGTTATTTGAGAGTGCCACATGGATGTAAAAGCTATAAAATGTACAAGGTTTTAGTATACTTTGCACTTTCAAAATGTAAATGTTGGGGAAGATATCAAAATTGCTATGCAAGTCCTCGGTGAAATGTCTGCATAATGCTGAACTCCTACATCTGCTGTTTGTATAGCATTTCTTGTGATAATTTTTCTCTGTCACTTAGCTCGTGATCTTTGTAGCAGCTGTGAGCTCCTAATGACTTTGCCTCTTAGGTTCTATACTGTTATTTTTAAAGTCTGAAGTACAAAGTAATTTGGCACTTCCTCACATATCCTGGGGGGAAATTGGTTCTGTTCGGTGCAATTTCTGGGAGTCACAAAATATTTGAATAAATATAATTTCTCCCACAACTTTGTAAACTCCAAATTTTATTTTTTTTTTCTAAAATATGTTTTTAAATTAAGAATATTTATGCTAGTGATAAAGAGGGTTCTCTTTTTCAGGAAGATTATTGTTAAACAGATACTAAAATGGTATATCTTGGAGATTAAACACTCCTGAGTAATTTAGTTTGTAGGGCAGTCTCTGAAGGGTGTTACTCTCTAGGGGAATGGCTGCTTCTCTTTAGAGTCAAAAAAAAGACCCTCCATTGCCCCATTTCAATTGCTCTGTATTCTGTTGTTGAACAGAGTAAGAGGTGGGTTAAAAACTTAAAAATTCCAAGGGAACTGGGTATTTAACCTGCAGCCCCAGCTAGACAGACATCTGCACCTCTGGCTTCATGAGCACCCTGGTCTGTCTCTGCTTTGTAAGTACACATGGATGCAGCCTTCTCTTCACTGGATCAGGGGCTGTTAATCAGCATCCAGGCAGTGGTATTTAAAGCCCTCCTTGTTATCTTCAGAGATCTATCTTATCTATATTTTACAAAAGGCATCTCTCTGCAGAGAACTAGAAAAAGGTCAGTACCAAACTTAAATGTCAGAAACCCCATTTTGAGAGGTTAGAAGCAGATAAGTTGTCTGGCCATCAAAAGTCTTCTGTTGCAATGGTTTTTGTTCTTGGTTTATAACACTGCACTGGCCACTCTTGCATCTGAGGATCCTGTGTTAGCTCCCCAAGGAGAGACAGAGTGGGGCATGGCAGTGCAGAGGGTGATGGGCAGGGGACATCTGGCTCTCAGGGTGCTCATCTGTCCCCAGGCCTGTGGAGAAGAGTGTGACCATGCTCCAGGACAGCTCGGTGTGAGACCACAACATACAGGACAATACTGAAAGGCTTTGTGTTTAACCCAGCAGTTAAAATATTGGTACTTTCCACATGGTTTCTGTGAGCTGTTGCAAAGGGAGAGAAAGCTCAGGGTTTTTTGGACTGACAAATTTTCCATTTGAATAATCTTTCTGCCTAGGAAGTGCAGCGCTGTACAGCTGACATGAACATCACTGCAGAGCATTCCAACCATCCCGACAACAAGCACAAGAACAGATACATCAACATCCTGGCCTGTAAGTAAGCACTGGCCTAAGCACAATGAATAACCCAAAAGGGCACTCTCCTCCTGCAGTGTGTGTGTGTGACTGGGACAGGCAGATGGCCCCAGGCTACATTACACAGGATGTAATAATACACATGTGAAAGTGTGGCTGGGAGATCCTTTCCCCATTAAAGGCAGTGTATGTTTTGGCTTCTCCGGGGCCAGGATTTCACTCCAGCTTTTGTTTTGAAATGTTTCACAGCTTGAATGTCCAAGCATAGTTGTAGAAGTTTGGTATGAAATTTTGCAGAGGAATAACTGGGATAAATTGATGATCAGAGCTCTCCTGCCTGCTAATGCCTGAAAACTGGCCTAGGGGGAGTGCATAGAGGAGCAAAGAGTTTTACTGATGATTCCTGGGATTACTCTGCAGTCCCAAAGGTGCTAAATCTTACAGAGTGTATCTGCTATATTTCAAACTGCTTTAGCTCTGTGTAGGATTTGGACAAATAGTGATCTTTGTAGCACAGAGCAGGCTTTGCCTGTATCCCTCTGAGAACTGCAAATCTGGACTCTGCCCTGGAATGCAAATTATCTGGGATGGAAGTGCAGTAACTTTTTCCCTGTTGTTCTCTTATGTGGAATGGATGGCAGATGCAACTGTCACTGTGGTTTAAGGACAGGCATGGAGAGCCCACTGGTAAAAAGTTCACAATGTTCATAAACATTGCAATAAATCTTGAATGCTTTTGGAAGGAAATGCGTGTCCCTAACAGATTTTCAGTAGTAATCAAGGTACTGGCTGAGGACCAGTTCCCAGACCTGTGACAGACTGCTGTGTGGCCTTGGGCAAAGGCATTCATTGAGCCTGTCCCAGCTCTGATTTTAGACATAGGTGTCTCATCTCTCTAGATACAGAGATGTGACATTGAAGGAGGATTGAAGCAGGCACTTCAGTCCCCCAGATTATCATTGGAGGATCCTCTCTCTCCATTGGTCCTCCAGGAAGGCAAATGAAACCAGTCTTTATGCTTAAAGTTGGCTCACATGTCTTATCTCTGCATGAGTTGGAAGCACCACACAGCCCAGTGCTTCTGCCTAGGAGCAGGACTATGATTTTTTTTCCTGCTTTAAGGAGGAGTCAAGCATTTGAGTGAAACAAAAAGAGGAGCTCAAGATCACAGCCTCAAGTCTGTCCTCACGGTGTGATGGTGGTGGTGAAGGAGTGAGGACATTCACTCAGCTCCCAGAGCCAGCAGAGCTGTCTGAGCCCAGCACTGAGGGGAGGAGAATGAGCTGAGCTGAGCAGAGGCAGCTTTTCACAGCCCCGTGGGGTGCCCTGGCTCTTTGAATCTCACTACCCTGAGTGATGTAGATGATTCTAAAAATTGTGCTCCTGAGGTTCCAGCGCCTTTTAAAGAGAAGCTGTCCCAGCATGAACCACGTACTTTAGGGAATGTGAAGGCTGAACACCTGCACATGAGCAGATGATCAAGAACAGATACTCCCATCTCCCTCCTGGTTCCAGTACAAGGCCAATCTCTTCTGTGTATTAGTAAGGGCAGCCCTGATACCCAGGAAATGGGATATATGCCTGCAGTTCTGCAGCATGTTTCCCTAATGTTTTTCTGCTCTGTTTTTTATCCTGCAGATGATCACAGCAGGGTGAAGCTAAGGCCTTTACCAGGAAAAGATTCTAAGCACAGTGACTACATTAATGCTAATTACGTCGATGTAAGTTGTTTTAGTGGTTTTTATCTGCTCTACCTTTGAATCCTTCCACAGGAAGGAAATATTGTCACTTGTGATTGTATTTTCCAACTTCACCTGATAATTTTGCTACAAATTCTTCACTATTCTGAATTAGAAAAGCAGCTTTCTTTTTACTTCTAAAATATTAATTTTTCTGCTATGATACTGCTTTCATCTCACTTGGCATTATGGTTTTCTTTGAAGGGTTACAACAAAGCAAAAGCATACATTGCTACCCAGGGACCTTTAAAGTCTACCTTTGAAGATTTCTGGAGGATGATTTGGGAACAAAATACAGGAATCATTGTCATGATCACGAACCTTGTTGAAAAAGGAAGAGTAAGAGATTTTCTCATTTGTTAGCAGCTGCTCCTTAACACTTCCCCAAATCACCTGGGCAGAATTTGTTTTAAATAGCATGGGATGATAAGTACTGATGCATATAACACATAAGTAACAACACAGGGACACATACTGAGCCCTGATTTTTTTCAAAAAGCTCTAGACACAAATACAAAGCAGCAGCTCAGGCCCTTACCCAACTCACGCACCTGTGTCTGTGTTCAGAGGAAATGCGATCAGTACTGGCCGACGGAGAACAGCGAGGAGTACGGCAACATCATCGTCACGCTCAAGAGCACAAACGTCCACGCCTGCTACACCCTGCGCCGCTTCACCATCAGGAACACCAAGATGAAAAAGGTGAGCCAGGCCTTCACTGCTCCCATCCAGGTGTCTTCTGGCTTGTGGAGGATGCAAGGCACACCAGAGCAAAACTTAAGAGTTTGCATAGGCAGCCCGGAGAGGCAGGCGGGTGGGAAATAAGTAAGTAAAGACAGGATTACAAGGAACCTGTTGCTAAGGTTTAGCTTGTATTTCTTCTTCTCAAGTGCACTGCAGCTTTGGTGTCCTTGTAATTGCTGTTATTACCTGTTCCCACATGTATTTTTCCTCAAACCTGTCTCCACCCATCAGCAGGCAGAGCTGCAGGTTTCTTCTGTCAGAGTCCAGCACTTTCGCAGCTGAGCAAGCCAGAAGCGACTGACGATGCTTTTATGCTTCTTTTCCCTCCTGTCTCTATTGTCCCTGCTCACCCTTCGTACCTAGGGGCAGAAGGGGAACCCCAAAGGGCGGCAGAACGAGAGGACTGTCATTCAGTACCACTACACCCAGTGGCCTGACATGGGCGTGCCCGAGTACGCCCTGCCCGTGCTCACCTTCGTCAGGAGATCCTCGGCAGCCAGAACCCCGGACATGGGACCAGTGGTGGTGCACTGCAGGTATGGTGGCTGTGACAAACCACCCGAGGCAAGCACAGCTAGAGCACAGTGTGTGCTCTTCCGTGCCACCTAACACAAACACTGCAGGTTACTAACACAGGAGGAGTGCGTCAGCCCCTTCCCAGCTGATGCAGGGTTTTGCTCTAGCCATGATACTGAGCTGATGAACTGCTTTGCACTGGAATTGGAAAGCTCCTTGGCCAAAGCTTAGTTGTAACCTCCCAGTTCAGTGCATGGACAGGGCAGGATCAGCTGTGCTGGGAACCAGCAGTCTGGATACGTGGACACCTGGGAATGCAATTGCCAGTGAGCCACACTCACCCTCACCAGCACTTGCAGTCACAGCAACAGATCAGTGAATATGCAGTTCAGGGATGTTGTCTTCATCACTGTGTGTGAGGAGGCTGCACAGCACTATATCAAAGAGGAGAGGGTGATGGGGGTTACAGCTCCTTCCTCAGCAGAAATGGAGAATCTCTGAAGAGCTCCCATCTCTCTTGGGCCCAGGACTGCCCTTGTTCACTGTAAGGAGTTCTGGCTCCAGAGGATTAGTCCTCTTTTATACCTTCCCATAGTGCTGGTACCACTTTCATTTCCAGCTCCACTTTGCAGCTTAAGTTTACCTCAAGGCTGAAGCCAGCCAGAGCCATCTCACAGCCTGGAGTGACCTTGGCAATCCAGCATAGCAGCAGCTTGGCAGAGGATGGACCTCTGAATGGCTTCATCCAGCCAACACCAGTAACTGCAGCACTGGAAACAGGAGCCAAGTGTGAACAGCCAGAGTGTGAAGTCCAGGACCACAGCAGCCTTATCCTTATGCTGCTGGCACAGGTGTGATGGCTTGTACTGTGTTCAGCCTCATCTTGAAGCACAGAAATACCCACAGAAGAATTATATATGAGTATTTGCTTAATTCTGTTCTAGCTACTCTGCATTTGCTTTCATCTGGCTGTATTTCATGGGTTTCTCTTATGTTCTCTGTAGTGCTGGTGTTGGCAGAACTGGTACCTACATTGTGATAGACAGTATGCTGCAGCAGATAAAAGACAAAAGCACAGTTAATGTCCTGGGTTTCCTGAAACATATCAGGACACAGCGCAACTACCTCGTCCAGACAGAGGTAAAAAATGCAGTGGGGTTGAATTTAAAGTCTTGTTCATTTTTGCATTGTAATCAAAAAGAGAATAGAGTTTTCCAATTACATCCTGTAAAAATTGAATATATTACTGTTTTTTTTCTGAATATCTCTCTTTTTCTAGACCAGAAACTTCAGATTTTGTTTTTGACTTATTCAGAGTTGTATGTACTACATTTATAAATATTTATTCTTAATTTGGCAGTATTTGCATGAGTGGCTTGTTTTGAACACCCTTTCCTTTACTCCTCAAACAAAAGACATCTGTTTAGGTTATTTCAAACGTCCACCTGACATGCTGGTATTTTTCTAGGAGCAGTACATTTTTATTCATGATGCCTTGTTGGAAGCCATCCTTGGGAAGGAGACTGAAGTGTCTGCAAACCAGCTGCATAGTTATGTTAACAGCATCCTCATTCCTGGCATAGGAGGGAAGACACGGCTAGAAAAACAGTTCAAGGTAAGTCTTAATAACTGCCATCCAGAGGGACCTGATTTTCCTACCCTTTTTTATATGGCCTGTCTTCACTGTCTATTGTCATGGCTAAGGAACCAAACCAGAAAACTTGATCAGCACAGCACAACATCTTGAGAAGTTCAGTCCTATACAGTCCTAGCTTCACTGCTGGAAATCGGTGCTCATGCTCTTCAGTCAGAGCTGAGAAGAGGGACATGGACACTGGTTTGGACTGTGCTGCTGGAATCCCTGTTCCCAAGGGGTCTTGGATGTTCCCAAGTCTGTGGTTACCTTGGCTGGAAGTCTTCCTTCAAACCGTGGCTCTCGTGCATACAAATATGGGGAAATGCAAGAGATGAGGTTCTTTGCACCACCTATTATTTCATCAGTGTAGATAAAGAATTACAAATGTTTTAAGACCAAGAAACACAATCTGCCTTTCTCATTGCTAATCATGATGCTTGTTGTGTTTCCTGCTATGACATATCTGCTTCCTTCCTGGACAAAATAATTACTTTTTCCCAGATCTCTTATTTAAAACCTAAGATTTTCTGATTGCACTTTATTTGAATACATTGTAAAATATTTTGTGAGAGTTTGTATCCCCTATATCATAAGGAGACACATGACATCCGTTTTCACAGCTAAACTCGCTCAGTTAATAACTACCCAAGGAACTGAAGCTGTTAAATTACACCAGGTGCGAAGCTATTCAAAAAATGAATCTGAATTCACTTGTAGGAATTTCAGTATTTCTCCATCACTCAAGACATTCCAGATGCATAATTACTAAATTAAAGAAACAAGTGCAAGAGCACGCACGCCCACACGAAATGCAAGAGGAGGCAAAGATTTGTTATTTTAAAAAGTGTTGCACTTTTACAAACAATTCTAAATTATATGTATAAATTATATGTTTTCTGATGACTCGTGCCAAAGTTTAAAAACCCTAAGTGCCATTTTCAGAAATTACTTTCTCTGACAACATTGCACAGTTATTTAGAATCCCCATAACTTCTAATGTGGCTTATGCCAGTGCACAGATGAGTTGAGTGCTATCTTGTTTAGAGTGCATTTCAAACTGGGATGTGACCAGCAACAATTATTAGATCTTTCTCTTGTTTCTGCTGCTGCCACAGAGCTGGCAGAAAATAAGTTGTGCTCATGCCCCAGTAGAGCAATTTACATTCAACCATCTTAAGAGTGAAATGACACTGAGTGCAGGAGATGTGAAAGCCACCTTTACTCTCTTTGCTCTGGCAGAGTTTCCCCATGTACTGGGGGAGTATTCAAATACAAATCTGCCTCTCTCTGTGCCTCTAGCCAGCCCAGAATGAACATGGCAGACCAGAGAATGTAGCCCATGGCCTCAGATCTCAGATTCCAGAGTGGTGGGTTCCCCAAAGGCCTGTCAGAAAAAGACATTCTGCAAGAATGATCTGGCTATTATTCTGGGGGGGAAAAAAAATTAAAGTATTAAAGTTTTGTTTTTCTATTTTGCTCAAGACCTCGAGACCTTCTTCTCACTAAACACATCTGAAATTCTGTGAAATATATTCTCAAAGATAATGAAACGTAGTGTTCTGTGAAAATACATTTTGATGGAACTTCATATGCAGGATGTTGCAAAGCTCAGAGCTCCAGAGATCTTTTTATCTATTAAACATGTATGAAAAGGATGATTTCCGTTGGAAACTTGAGTACTTTAAACAAGTTTTAACAATGCAGTTTATTCTTCTACTAATGCATCTTCGCAGGAGTTGGCAAAGAAACCTCCTCTCTTCATTTAGAGTGCTCTGAGGGCTGACTTACTACTTCATTCTTTTTCAGCTGGTTACACAGTGTAATGCAAAATACGTGGAATGCTTCAGTGCTCAGAAAGACTGCAACAAAGAGAAGAACAGGAACTCATCAGTTGTGCCATGTAAGTTCACATCTTCAGTTTGATTACTGCCTAGCATAACTTTTTGTACCGAATTCTCCCGGTGTTATGCATGAAAAGACATAGCCACGAGGAAGGGGAAATGTAATCTTTTGTTCAGCCCAAGCTGTCTTGTCTTTGAGTATTACCCTGATGAAACTGAACAAAAGGAAATAGTTGCAGTGTCAGCCAGATATACTGTCCAAGTGAAATGTTAATCTGAAGTGCTTAAGAATTTGAATAATTAGGTAGGGGATAAATCTATGGAATACTGAGAGATTACTTTGATACCAGCAGCTCCCTGCTCTAGGAAATCTCCCAGAGTGATTTGCACCAGTTGTTTGTAATTCAGCTATTGCACTCAGTTTCTCTGTGTGTGCCACCACAGATTTAAGGATATTCAGTGACCAAGGACACAGTTTCAGAGTCATTAAAAGGGAATCTGTGCATGGCTGTCAAGCAGTATGAACTTGCACCAGACCAAGCATGGGCACAGTGTCATCCCCATCACATAACCCAGAGCACAGGACACAGAGGACAGATGATAGCCAAGCTAGCACAGAGTAATGGTGGCACAGATACAGCCCATCATGAAGTTTGTTAATAAAAAGGGAAGTCATCAGAATACATCTTAAAAACAGATGGGAACACGCTAGAAAAAGGCTGTTTGATTTGGCCCTTTGTGTCATGCAGCTGCACTGATTTCAGTTTGGCTTCTGGAGGCTGTCAGAGGGTTTGAGGGTGATGTTGAACTCAGCTCTCAAACACAGGGAAGCATGGATCTGCAGAAGAGCACACACTTCTGGGAGGTTCCCCATTAGGGAAGATGTTTGTCTCTGGAGGTTCTCTCACCCTGTGAGAGATGGCAGTACTACAGAGTGGTAGGGAAAACAAAATAAATCATCTGGGTTTGTATGCTGCTGGAGACAAATGGAACACTACACACAAGAATTACCCGAAATCCCCTGTTATCACTGCATATACTGTTATTTGGTAATTCAGCCTGCTGTGAAAATCTTTGCTATAGTAAAATTTGATTCCTGAAATTACTTTGTCCTTGTGGGAATATTGTGCAACATTCTCTTTTATATCCTGTGTTAGCAGGCAGTGCTTTAATGCAGTTAAAGTGCTGGCCTGCTCCTGTGGGAGATGGGAGCTGCACACTGTTTGTTTTGTTAACAGCTGAGAAATTCTTACTTTCTGCATTGTGCCATGATCAGACTTTGATCTTTTCTTTTTTCTCTGTGTTTTTTTTTTTTTTTTTTTTTTTTTTTTAATTTTTGTGTTTTTTTTTTCTTAATGTTATAGCTGAGCGTGCTAGAGTGGGCTTGGCACCACTGCCTGGAATGAAGGGAACAGATTACATTAATGCCTCTTATATCATGGTGAGGAAGCCAACACCTAATTACAAAGTAAAATCAGTTCTAAGGTGCTAAATACCAGATGCCTATAATTGTCTTAATTCTGTATGTAATGGCTGTGTATTAACAGATGAGATTTTAACACCTTCCCCATAATGTAACGCTATTAACCATGTTTTATTAAAGATTGTTGCCTAAAAAAATTAATTACAAGATGCATTTAGATGGAATGTGTATTTCTGTGAGATACAGTCAAATAGATACTGGGATTTAAAGTAAATTAAAACAGTAGGGGACTCTGTAGAATTGAAATGGAGTTAAGGAAATATAGTCTGTGTGAAAATAACGTGGTGTAAAATAAAATAGGGTCATTATGTGTCCCCAGAAATTAAATCAATGCTTTAAAAGTATGGGAGGCAGTAAGTAACTCTGTTTGTTTTGCTGCCAAAGGGCTACTACAGGAGTAACGAGTTCATCATAACCCAACATCCACTGCCACATACAACTAAAGATTTCTGGCGAATGATCTGGGACCACAATGCACAGATCATTGTCATGCTGCCGGACAACCAGAGCCTGGTGAGTTGTCTGTGTCTCTCCCTGCGTGGTGCCACTGTCACAGCCCAGCTGGGCACAGCACAGGGTCACTCAGTTGCCTGCTGGGGCTGTTTTCTGGCTGAAAGCAAAGCCAATTTTTGAGCCATCTACTCAAACTTTGCCATAAGCTGGTTACAAAAAGTTAAGTTCAATGAAGTAGGGGCTGTTCTTTTGCTGTCGCCTTCTGCACTCACCCATGGACATCAGGGCTGGAGGGACCCCAGTGCTCACAGATAGCACAGCACACCAGTGCTGCCAGCATCTGCAAGGCTCCTCAGGGCTGCCTGGCAGGATGCAAGCACTGACGGTATGGAGAGGCTGGGGTTATGGGTAAGGACTTGGAGAGGAGCAGAAATGCAATGTAGGGACAGGAGGATACTTTCTTGTTTGCCTGTGAGCTTAAACCTCAGACTATGGCTGTGCAAGGCAGCACATGCCATTTTTAATGAAAGTAAAAAGCAAATAAGTATGTTAATTTAAGTGGAAATAATGAGTCAGACAGAGTGATAGAATAAGGAGACACAGGTGAAGTGCTAATCACTACTTCCAGATTTACTAGCATGTCTCAAGAGGGTGTGTTGAAAAGGATTAGGAACTAATCGGTTCATTTTTTCATGCACGCATCACTGAGGTGAATAGACAATTGTAGCTGAAAGTGGAAGAGAAACCACCTTCATTATAGCAGGAAAATAGCAGTCATGAGGGGCTACTAAAGAGGCAGCAGTCAATATGCTGCTTGTGTGTGGGGATGAAAGGGAGCACAGCACTGCAAGGAGTGCTCAGAGACATTCGATCAGATCAGAAAATGCTTATGAAATGAAAGTGTGTCAGGTGGAAATGGAGAGGCTGATCTTGTCTTCACATATACATGAAATAGCTCTGCAGAACCACGGTGATCAAAGGGTATAGGAGGAGTGCTGGGCTCAGCCACAATGCTTTCACCTTCACCATTGCCAGGGTGGAGGTGGCCAGGAAGGCAGTGGCATCTGGCCTGGGCTCAGTGGTCAGTGTGCAATGTGTTGGCTGGCAAGAAGGGCTGGCACAGGATTCAGGCAGCACCAAGGTGCTGGATGTGCAATGCCAAAGGACAAGACAATACTGGAAGGTGCCTGCTGCATGAGGACTTGTCAGGTGGCAGGACAGGTCCCTTGCTTGGCACTTTTCCATATTACTCTGCTTCCCAATACTTCTGCTTATTTAGGACCGATTTGTAAGGATGTAAAACCTTAAGTCACATTTTCAGAATAAACACTGACAGCACAAATCTCAACAGAATCTTGTGTATCAGAGCTGCAACCCCACAGAAATACACCTAGTTGAAGAGGGATGTGCAAGGCCACAGCAGGATGACATCAGTTCATAGTTCATGTTCGCTCATGAGTGAAAGATGACATGTCCAGAGGACATGGGTTTGCTCAGTGACCAGGGCAACTTCTGTGCTCATTCTGCAAGGACATAGACTTTTGAAGCCAGGAGAAGAAACAGACTTTGCATGTAGGTGGTGACAGACCATAATTTCCTTTGTTTGCAGCATATTAGGAATTCACAGTTATTTTTTAAAGAATGGCTTTGACAGCTATTTTAAAGAACAGTGTTGACTTACATCCTGCCAGTCAGGCTACTTCAGCACTGAACTTCTTCCAGCCTTCCCAGTCTCACTGAGGTTTTACAGTAGAGGTGTTTTGCTGGAGAACTTCCATTAAGTTCAGCCAGTGTTTTTTTCAAAGCTAAGAATATTTGAGTTTTTCTCTTCCTCTTCACTCCTCTGCTCACTCCTAAAAATTCAAACCCTACATTAGTATCCATCAATCTTCTACCTAGGCCTGATTCACAGGCCTTGAGTTTTGGATTAGACCACAATAAACACAAATTTAAAATAACAAGTCATTAATTTTTAAAGGTCAATGAGTTTTTTCTAAACAAATATCTGACTTTTAAACAAAACTGTATAGGCAGGAGGTCATAAAGCCTGGGATACAATACAAAGGTTAAGTATGAGTGAGCTAAGGTAACCATTTCCCTGTGAAACCAATTAAAAAGCAGATGTTACCTGTTTGAACACACAAAGGGAGGATCTGGCAGGTTTACTGCCCACTGTAATAGTAAATTTGTTTTAGACAGAAGTGTTTTTTAAATGTCAGTTCCTGATCATCTCTATTTATCGAAGCAATTTTTTGATCCACTGGATTTTTCAGTTGCACAAAGGTATCTGAAAGGCTGCAGTAATGTGTTCTTTTATGTGTCCAGGCAGAAGATGAATTTGTGTACTGGCCAAGTCGTGAGGAATCCATGAACTGTGAGGCCTTTACTGTGACCCTTATCAGCAAAGACAGACTGTGCCTCTCTAATGAAGAGCAAATTATCATCCATGACTTTATCCTTGAAGCTACCCAGGTAAAGTAAACCTTCAAATGTGGGTCTTTACTTTTCACCAAAATTATACTGATGCCATTTAAATACAGAAGAAGAGTTCAGAAGATTTTTGAAAAGGATTTACTTGTAAATGCATGTGGATGCATGTTTCTCTCAGGGGAAAGGTATTCTCATTGGCTTCTCCTCCCTCTCACATCTTCTACTTCCAGGTAGATTCCTCTAGCTAGTAAGGCTAGTATTAACTGTCTGTCTTGCTTGAAAGTGAAGACATGTGATTTTACCAAGGTGTATTGTCTTATTTCTGCTTACAAGATTCAGCATTTATAGTTTAATTGTTTGGGAGTCTTAACTAATCGTAAAATGCAAGCATGATTGTTTTGAACTATAAACCTGCTTCTAGTTTGTTATCTGGATGGCAGCTGGACTTTGCTGCAAGACATTTGTTTGCAAGCCCATTTAAATTTGACTTGGTTGCTCTTGTTTGACTTTTGAGCCATAAGGACTCTGAGAGAGGTTTGATATAAGCCCTGAATTCAAATACAAAATATTTTATTGATTAAACCTTTTGTCAAACTTGCATAATTTTAGGGTGCTCACTGTTACAGAGATGCTGGAGCTGTGTGTCCTCTTTCTATGTAAACTGCTTGGAAGAAAAAAGTTTCCCTCCAGTTTGCAGTGAGGCTCTTTCCTCTCTGTCCCTGGGGAGGATGCCTGTGAAATGGAAGAAGCTAATGCCAGACTTTTTGTCATTGCAGGATGACTACGTTCTGGAAGTGCGCCACTTTCAGTGTCCCAAATGGCCAAACCCTGACGCTCCCATAAGCAGTACCTTTGAACTTATCAATGTAATCAAGGAAGAGGCCTTAACAAGGGATGGCCCCACCATAGTTCATGATGAGTATGTCATTGCTTTTCTTTCATTTATGTGCAGATTGTACACTTAGCTGAAAGACACTTGTTAGGACTGATGTTCATTCCTGTGTAGATGGGGTTTAATAGTCCAGGTGTAGGTGGGGTTTAGTAGTCCAGGGAACAGATTAAGAATATATAAACTTCCAAGGATGAGTTTTCAGTTGTCATTTGAGGCCAAATACATTTTGCTTAGAGTAGTTTTTGTGCTGGCTATAATCTCAGACAGAACAAGCTCAGCTCAGCTGTGTCTCCTGACAAGCAGCAGAAGTACCTTGTGACAAAGGGCCCCGGTCTTTTAAAAGCAGATTAATTCTTTCTCCTTTTGCTTCCCAAAAAATATTCCAAGAGGCCCATACAGTGCCAAGTGGAAGGGAGGGGACCCACTGACTCCAGGCCAGCATGCCCCAACACTTGCCTCTTTTGTAGCACAGTGGTGAGCATTGTCTCACCAGCTACGCTTGAACACCCACTTATAAAGAGTGCTAAAATATGCATTGTATATTATTACTTGCACACATTATGGAGCTGCAGAATACCATTATAGTGAGGCTGGAGCCTGGGTCTGACCTGATTTCCTTGGAGAGACTGTTTCCTGGTGGGCAGAGCACTTCCTGGAGTCATTCTGTGCTTAAAATCTCAAGGAAGCCCAACTTCTGACAGTGCTCATGGTGTCCTAAGAACGAGCACCAAGCCAGCACAAACACTTGCTCCACCTGCAGCCCCCCTGTGCTGCAGCCTGTCAGATTTTGCCACTGCCACGAAACAGAATCAGTGGGAAGGTCTTGGGAATCTTTGCAAAAGCCTCACTACCACGTTCTGGTGTGTCAGTGGTCAGAGCAGGCACTGTGCTGCTGTCCCAGGAGGATGTTCATATCCCCAGTGCTGCTGGAGTTCTCCCTGCACATCCACGTGTCGCTGCTGCAACAGTTTTTCCCAACTGACTCCTGCAAATGGTGCCTTGGGCTGCAGCAAGTAGTTTTTCTCCCACCACCTCCTCCTGCCTTGCTTATGCAGACTTTAAGCTCTGTTGCTTTTCACCAGCACTGATTAATTCCAGGCTGGTTTTAATATTCATGCTTTGGGTAGTCTGAAGTGAAGTTTTGCTGCTCTTGCAGTATTTAAGATTATGTTTTACAAAATTAGAAACATTATTGATTTGGGCATTTCATTGCTAGATGAAAAAGGAAAATCAAAATTGCATTCCAAGCAATGCTGAATCATTCTTTCTGTACATTGCTTTTTTTTTGGTTTATTTGTCATATTCAATGATTTTATCTTTACGCCTAATACATAATGTGGATTCTGCTTGTAATTGGAGTCTAAGGAAATGTAGCTGAAAATGAAAATTTCCCTTTGCTACATGCAACAACTATATCACATAATCTACTAATAATTACAACTGCAGATTAATTCCAAATATATGAATTTGCAGATAACTGAATTTATGTGGTATTTAGGAAGTACATGGTGGGATGAACTTGATAACACTTTTAAAAGTTCAGAAATTCCAACTTGAGGCAGTTGTCAAGATTTTTAAATGTAACTACCCAAGTGTAGGCAACTACATACAGATCTGCTGCATAATTTTCTGCAAGAAAAGTTCTTCAGATTGTTGAGATCTGGAAATTATCAGCCCATGCAAAAATGATGCCATTACACCCTCAAAGGGTTTTAGTTGTATGCTGTCAAGTACATGCACTGGGCACTTTGTCCACTGCCCCTGTAGATGAGTCACAGCCATCTGTATGGTGCTGCTTCTCCTCTACACCTTACATCCAATAGAGCACATCCATTGTGATCTGAGTTCTGTTTCCCATTTCTAGGTAAACTGAGTTTGAGTTTGCAAAACTCATATAAAATTAACTCAGCATATGTCTTGATTTCCACTGGAATGCTGTACAAATCCTGGTGGTGATCTTGCAATACAAGATAGTATTGCAGCACTTGCTGATTATTTCAGTTTTCATATAAAACTCTCCAAGTGGCTTAGAGAGCAGGTCAGCACAGATAACCCCATTTAGCAATGGGAACATTTAAACACAGCCTTTCTCAAAGTCACACAGCAGACCCATAGCACAGCCAGGGCAGAATTTCAGTTTCCTGAGTACCAGGAGGGCAGAGGAGAGTGGAAGCTCCTCAGAATCCATTGTGTAGGATCCTTCATGATGTGCCTCACACCTGCACCTACAGCCCAAGCACACCCCCAAGCTTGCAGCAGTGAGGTTTCCACCTGACCAGTATCTCAAGGATATCTCAAGGACTGACTTGTGTTTCTGATGAATAACTGCTGCTCGGTCCTCAAGCAAAACATGGGTGATTAGAAAGAAATGAGACTTTGCCTCTTCCTCCACATCTGACAATTGCAGAAAACTAACACAGCTCAACTCTTCAAAATCTGTAATGTCTCCTGGGTGCCTGGCTCAGGGATGTTGCCTTTACCGAAGATTCAGACCTAGGCAAGACTTAGAGATTGCCCCAATTACTTGTGAACACCACAGAGCTGTGTTAGTTTTCTGCAATTGTCAGATGTGGAGGAAGAGGCAAAGTCTCATTTCTTTCTAATCACTCATGTTTTGCTTGAGCTCCCACTAATGAATTTAAAATACACTCCACTGTAATGCAGATGCTCTCAGCACATGTGGTGTGGGAGAACTGATTTCAGTGTTACAGTCTCCAAGCTGGGTATTTTGGAATGGCTCATATTCTGCTGCTGATACAGTTCTTTGTGTTGAATAGTGCAGATAACCTGAGATTACTGGTGTACCATCATTTCTTCTATGAATTAAAATGACAAAAAATTAGCCACTATAAAACAAACATTTAGTAAACACAAAGAGGAACTACAGTAATTAAATAAGGCTATAACAACACTTCCATGCCTCTGGATCAGTGGCCTGGTGTGTTTTTGAGTAACTCTTCCTTTTGGTGTGGTTTTCCAGGTATGGAGCTGTGTCAGCAGGAACTCTGTGTGCCCTTACCACTCTGTCTCAGCAGCTGGAGAATGAAAATGCTGTCGATGTTTTCCAGGTGGCAAAGATGATAAATCTTATGCGGCCCGGAGTATTTACAGACATTGTAAGTCTTTAAATGAACTATAAATAGACAGTTTACAAGGTTTTCATCTGAGACCAAAAGCATGAACTAAAACATGCATTGTGTATGTTATCAAGCCCTACAGCATCTGCTACCAAGCAGAATTTGCATTTGAACGTCTTTTGTGTAGTTGTCATTTTTTGTTAACCTCAAAGCCACACTGTAAGTCTCTGATTTGCACTTGAACTTATTTCTCATACTTTGGAGGGGAGCATCATACAGGCAAGTCCTAGCAGAGAAGCACCTTTCAGCTTGTCACCATCTGCCTGCCAGCCCTGTGAGCCCGGCTGTGCTCTTTAGATCTGGCACGCTGTGGTATGAAGGGATGCTCAGGGCAGGCAAAGCTGCAGGGCTGAGGCTCTTCCCTGAGTATCCAGCAAGAGCAGCCCCTTTCCTCAGTGTGTGTGCCACAAGGTTCTGCCACCCAGGGAGTGACCCGGGGCTGAGCTGTGGCCTCAGTTCTGTCCTGCCCTCCTGAAGTGTTTAACAGTATATCAGAAATAATATCATCTACCAAAACTGGAGTTTGGGTTGACAAGGTTAAACTGGATGAACAGAGGTAATTGTTCTATTTCTTTGCTATGTGTGCTTCTGGTAATGAATGCCCATGACCTTCCCTGGAAATGCCAAATTAAAGTGCTGCTCATTTATGTACATTTAAAGGACTGAAATAAGTTGTTCTTTCTTTTCCAGGAACAGTACCAGTTTCTTTATAAGGCAATGCTAAGCTTGGTCAGCACTAAGGAAAATGGAAATGGTCCCATGACACTGGACAAAAATGGTGCTGTGATGGCCAGTGACGAATCTGATCCTGCAGAAAGCATGGAGTCTCTTGTCTAATTGGAAACCTGAAAAGGCACTTAATTTGTAGAACTTCTGAAGACTGAGTGAACTTTTTTGAGGCCTTTTTTGCCAGACTCTAGGTTATACAATAACCCAATTACTTTTTTACACTGATAAAAGTTTTGATATTTATTTTTTGCCATTTTATGTCTTAATGGTATCCTACTGAGCATTTGCACCTCTGTTTATTTCACACAGTGAAACGCAATTTTATCTAGTTTGCACTATATGATCAGTGTTACTGCCTATAATATCCTAATACAAGACAAGCCCTGATGTGACATTCCATGACAACAAGCATATGCTTTTTCTGTTTTGTTTAAATGCAGTGAAGTTTTGCTAACTACAGTGACCCTCAAATCTTAAATCTTGAATGCTAGGCCAGATGGATTCTTTCTACAACAGATACTGTACCCCTTCGTACCATATTTATTATTTAGTGACCATGTCAAAGTTCTGGTAACGGTGTTCTGCATTCCAGTGGAGTGGATGAGCAGTGTTCATCCTTTCTTGACAAAATGTGGCAGGTGATTATTAGCTACAGTGAAGGTCTAACAGCCTTGTGGAGCTGAAACAATTATTTCTGTATTGTTTCAAATTGCTGTGTTGTACACTTACAGACCTGAGACTTGCTTCACATGGAATATATAAATTACATACAATATAATTATAAATTAGATGCAATTAATATGTGGGATGAGGTGATAAGTTTTGAATTTACAATTTCAAGGTTTCCCCATGTATTCATGAAAATGTTGATTTTGGTTTTTAACCAGCCCTGTGATGGGAAAATATTTCGGTTTTATTTTCATCAGAGCCAATACAGTGAGAAATCTACAACAACCCAAAATCAGACCAGTTTTCAGATATATTAAAGGTAGCAATATTTTACATTACTAAGCTATTCAATATTTTAAACACATCTAATTTCCTTACTATTTCTTGACTATGACCTCACACCTAATGGTATGTTACATGATGACAGGCGTTTCTTAATTTCATAACTGTTAGATGCCATTTTTACAGGTGTGTAATTTTCATACTTTAGTGCTAAAACATAAAGTACTGATCCATATTTACTGGTGAAGCAAACTAATAAAAAAAAACTACCTATAAAGTTACATTCTCCCTCTTTTTTTTTTGCCAGACTAATTCTTTAGCAAAAACCTAGTTTATTGTGTTTTCCCTCCCATGCAAATAGAATGGCTTCCCCCAGATTATGTCAGTAATTATTGTTTGGAGCATTTGAGTTTACATCCTCACTGGCTCCCTCTTCCTTTGTATTTGGTTGCAATTCAACAAGTTCAAAAGAAGTAAGCACATGCTTAAATTCTCCTGAAAAAGAAAATTAGTTGTGCCCTTCATAGCTTAGCTGAGTAGGGAGGGGTTATTGAGTCTGTCTAGAAAAGGAAATATTTGATTTCAGCCATCCTAACCCTTGGTGTACAGTTAAAGGCAATCTCCCTTATATGTGGCATTAATTTCTTCTAAAGTACAGAAAACATGCATTATAATTCTTCAATTCTTCAGGACTTGTCAAAATACTGCAACTTTTTTTTTTTTTTTTTTTTTTTTTTTTTTTTTTTTTTTTTTTTTTTTTTTTTTTTTTTTTTTTTTTTTTTTTTTTTTTTTTTTTTAATGTAAACCTATTAATTTCTGCCAGTCCAGTCTTACTGAAATACAGATATTTGGCAAGGTTCTGTGTATTTCCATTTACAAGGAAGCTGAAAGCAAACTGCTTAAAAGGATATTGAGAGTAGATAATGTTGGTTCAGAACTTCTTAAGGTGCAAACTGGTACAGCCTCGCTGAGAGCAGAGGAGCTGTGCAAACTGGTATGTGCTAACATTTGGCCTTTTGTCTTAATGAGAGAAAGATTCAGTGTATTCAAGGATTCATCAGCAAGCTTTTACACAGTCACATTTACTTCTCAGTTTGTTGAATCCCTCCATCCAAGCAATCCCAATAATTGATAATACCAAACAATTTATTAAGCCCATGGTTTCAGTAGGGAAATGCCATGTCCAGCAACAGCTAGTCCAAATAAAATATGTGCAGAATGTTTCAAAATATTGTAGTTTGCATCCCCTTTGCGCTGCATGGAGGAGAGGGAGTCAGTAGGAGTTAAGACTGACCCTCCAGTCACTACACCCCAGTAAAAGAATGGTTTAAGTAAGTTCTCAAGTGCTGCTCCCAGCAAGGGCTGGAAGGTTTTGCTGAGTGGTTTTCTGGCCAGCCTCAGCCTCAGAGGCTGCTGAGCCCCTCTGTGCCCCCAGTCCTGCACCTGGACCCAGCCAATGCCAGCTGGTAGCACAAAGGGCCTCATGAGCTGGATCAGTTCAATCTGGAAGTGTTTTAAGTTCCTGGGGAGATGTAGGGAGAAGTTAGAAATTCAAACCTTGACAACTAAGTGACACAAAGATTACTGCATGCATCAAGAGGTTGGGTTTGTTCAGTACTTTCAGGTGATTACTTTTCATTTCAGTGGCATGATGGAAGATAACTGTGGTTTGTGACACACTGCCTGAATACCCTTGGTTTAATCCCTTACCTTCTCACAAGTTTTAAACATCAATGAACGAAGGCTGCGGGGGTTGAACTTTGGTCAATGCTTTGGAAATCCATGCATTTGCATTGGCAGTTTCCAACACCTGAAATACTTGTTTGGGGTTTAATCCATGGGGAAATAATGTACACTGGTGTTCTATGAGTTCTCCATGGATTATTTCGTAAGGGAGCTCCAGCTGTATGTTAAGTGCTGTGCTGACAGCCAGGTAGCCAATAGATGGTAGTGATGCACGAGGCTTGAAGGGGTGAAGCTAGAAATTGCTTGTGAAGGTCAGGATTAAGCACACAGAAGAGCCAAATCTGTCCTCCTGTAAGCAGCTTCAGTTCTGCTCTCTTACACAGGTTTGCACCCTTTCCTGGGGACTGAGTGAGTGGCAGAAGGAGCAATGGGCACTGATAAATTCTTCTGATGCTCCCACGAGTGTCCAGCCCAAGTCCTGCTCTGCAAATCACCACCTCTTGCTTTTGGGACCCCAACCCCTCGGCTGTACCCAGCTCCTGCCATTCAGTCAGGATGTCTTTCCAGCATCAAAGGCTCCCAAGCAATGTGCAGGTCTGCAAAATAAGAGAAGCTGAGAACATTCCTATATCACTGCAGAGTGTGGTCCTCAGCACCAGCCCTGATAAATAAGGAACAGAAGGACTGAAACACACACGTGTCTACATTTAGAAAATACAATTTCTCCATGTCTTGCACATGTCCTGTGCCCACAGACCATGTGAAAGATGTGAACTGTGTCTTGAGACCATAAGAGCAGCCAAGCTTTCCAAGTGGGAATGCTTGGAAAGCTTCTGTGTCATCTGAACATCTGAAATAGGTGGCAGGCTCAGAATAACCCAACCTCCAAACACTCCTGTGTGTGAGCTTGGATGTTGTAGGAAGGTCTGGGGGAGCCAGTGGGACCACTCAGACCACCAAGTCTTCTGCAGGATCAATGTCTAAAGAACATTCATTTTAAACAGCATTTGTCCTTAAAATTTCAGTGTCTGCTTCCAAATGCTAATTTAGAAACAGGGAAAAAGAAAAATCCAAACCCCTTAAACTTTTCCTTGTGGCTGTTCCTGTACTGTGGGTCTACTCTAGGATAGTGGAGTCATTTACAGGATCTGCAAAATTTCACTTGTGTTTCCAGCTTCTGACTGCTTGAATTGCTTGAACACAGTGATACATTGGAACATTAGGAGAAGAATCCTTATTATACAGCACAACTGCCTTCTCATTAATCTTTTTTAAAGCTGATGTATTTTATTTAAAAGCTAAAAAGTATAGATATGGATTCTACCAAAGATACATGCTACTAATTCTCAGCAAAACAAAACCAACTTAATTTAAAAAACAAACTGTAGTTGTCTTGAAGATTTAGCAGTCTTTCTCAAATTCATGTCTTTTGACATCAGATCTTTTGTTCCGAAGTTTATGTTCAAATGGTGCCAGTGAACTTTTATATGAAGGGAAAATGCCTATTTGTTAATCTACTGCATTGCTTTTCTTCTTTTTCTTTTTCTCTCTTTTTTTTTTAGGATGTAATTCACTGTTACCCTTTGCTCTTCTTCTCCTTGTTGCCATTCTAACAATGTGAACTGCATTGGCTTCACTTATCAAAGGAGAAGGAATGCAAAAATAAGGAAAGCGAGGAACTGTAATAAAGAGATTTGGCCTCTACTTTGTCTTAGCTGTTAAACTGTTTTTAGTGTTTTTGTTAACTATTTGAAAAGGGAAGCATTTTCTACAGAGGATAATTAATTTCAAGAAAAATGTCTTGAGTTTTAAGAATAAACGTCTCCAAAAGAGGAGATAGTCAATTTTATACAATGTCACAACTCTCCAACATTTGGGGTAGTGACTTTTTTGTTTTGTTAGAACACTTGAGACTAGCAAGCAGCCATTGTTTCTAAAGACCGAAGCATTCATGTGTACTCCTATTTTCTTTTCCTTCATTTTTAAAATAGCAAAGTCATTAAAACTGTAAATATTTTGTTGCTTAGATAAGCATCTTCTGGGAACTTTGTATCTATGGTATATAATCATAGAATTTTATATTTTCATATAAAGCTAATTTTTTTCTAGTTTCACCTCCTTCCTAGTTCTGTGGTGGTTATGTGAATACAAACCTTCTGTGTTTCAAGGTAGTGAGATGCCATCATCACACTCCAAAAAAGATTTCCACACATGTCATTTCTTTGGGGCAGTGATTGTGAAAGTTGGATTTTTTTTTTTTTATTCCATTGTCAGTGTGTGCAACAGGATTTAGACTTAGCCAGTCACTAGATACATTTGTCTCATTGATCCATTCAGAAGAAAAATAAAAATGTGGTGTTTGGTTTGGGGAAAGGGTGGGAGGGAGTATTTTGAGGGAGACTTTTTGTTCAGTTTTGGTTTTTGTTTGGGGGCTTTTTGTAACTTGAAGAATCTTCTTTTTGTTATGTTAAACTATATCAAATCATTCTATTATAGTGTTATTTAATATGTAAATTGTATTGCTATACATAAAATAAAGTATGGTTTTTGATGTATTTATGGACTTCTTACTCATTTGCATTGGGTACACACAAGGAACAGATGCTGGAGTCAGTATTTCATTGTCCCAGGCATGCAGGAATGATGAGATCCAAGGCCTGCTTTAATTAGATCTCAAATTTCCAAGCAGGACTCAGCTGGGAACTGCCAGTGACAGTGGAGTTCCCTTCTTAATTGTCTCCAACTGTTAGAGAGCTGCCAGTAAATAACCCCATCCCTTTCCACCAGTGCTCCTGGCCAGACAGCTGTGACCCATCAAAACCCCTTTTGGATGGGGGACTGTCTCCATTCTGAACAGGACCTCAGATCCTGAGCTTTCTTGGCAGCTCCTTTGGCTTCCTCAGACCCATTTCTGGCTTACCAGCCTGGAGGAGCAGGGGCTTCCACCAGGCCACCATCACCCTGTGATTTACTGTGATGAATGGCATTGCTCCCTAACCCCAGCACTGCAGCAGGAAAAGCAAAGTACTGATTCCCATCTCAGACAGGCTGGGGGGACACAGATGTTCCAAATCCTAGAGACACTGCAGCAAAAATCCCCCACGGAGGGCGTTGGTAGTCACAGCTCCTTGCTGCTCTAGCCAGGGGCTGTCACTGAGGTGGACACACATGATGCCATCGATGCTCTCAGTGTTTTGCAACAAAACCCTGGCAGCTCCAACGCCACCTCCCATTCTGGTTCTGTGCTCAGAGCTGTTTTAACTATTTTGTTGTTCCTGGGGGGAAGCCACTCAGGTTTGTGGACAGATTTTTGTTGCAATCTGCTGCTGGCAGAACAGCTGCCCAGGCTGGCAGCACTCAGAAACAGCAGCTCTCATCCTCCAGAGCAGCACCTGCACAGGGACAAAAACATCAATAACTCAGACTGCTTGGTGATGTGAAATTGCTGATTAAAATCAATACACTACATCTGCCGCCTTTTGTGTTGCTGCATTCTCACCTGTAAGGTCTGTGTTCTGCTTGACTGGGTGGAAGAGGGATCCTGGAGCACTGGATGGGGACTGTGATCAGTGGGACACCACACAACAGCCT